AGCAATCCGTCAAAGCTGCCCATAATTTGGATACCTGTCACAACGCAACGATGGTAAGATACTGTAAACCTGTTTTGGAATAGCTGATAAGGTTTGATGATTGATCCAAGTTGTACGGTGAGATGACCGTCTACATTGTCGCCATCTTTGATTACAGCGAAACGGCCGTTGCTATTGGTTGTACTTGCAAAGAAGAACTGTTTGGTAGCTCCTTCGGACAGGTGGGCAGAGACGAATTCAGAACTGGTGAGGAAAGAGAGCCATTGTTTACTAACAGCACTTAAACAAATCAGAGATTTTGTCGGTAATCTCGTCAGGATTTCAATCTTGAGTTCATCGGGCAAGGATTGCAGGGATGGGGGCATTTCGATTGGAAAACCTACACTGATTCTACCGAGGTTTAAAATGGTGTCTCCTGCTATTTCATTTCACTCTCTCCCCTTCCAAATTATACGCAGCATTTCAGACATACACAATCATCTTGCGGAAAACATGAATAATAAGCAACAAAAAAATAGCAGTTTATTAACTTAAAGTAAAAGGGGTACAGAAGTTTCTACCCAAGAAAAGTTTACCGGTTATGCCAAGAATAAATATCGCAGATTATGTGTTGCAGACTTGCAGGCTGCAGCTTAATTATCATACGATCAAGAAACAACTTTTGGAGTTCTATTTTCTTTGACTTTATACGGAGCATTATACACGCAGGGATGGATTAACAGGCGGGCGACCGCGCCATTCTCAATTTTTCTGCTTCTTGTCTCTAATCTTCACATATATTTCTAAAAGAATTTTATCAATCAGAGACTCGAAAGGAAACATAGATGAATTATCAATTCGGGATCGAAAGATGAAATGTACTAGTATATGACTCGAAATATGAAAAACTATCAATCTAGAACCTAACATTTCATAGGTTTTTATTTGTTTAATTTTTTATTAATTCCATTGTTAATATTTGGTGAAATTTTCTTCACAAAAGTTTATTAGCTTAATAAAACTAAATATTATTTAAATTTTTTAAAATAAAAATAATAATAAAATTTATGAAACTTAGATGCTAAATTGATAGTTTTCAATCGTTCGGATCCTAGATTGATAGTTTTCCATCATTCATATCTTATACCGATATATTTCATCTTTCAGGTCCCGAATTGATAGTTCGTCTATCTTTCAGGTCCCGGATTGATAAAATTACATTTCTAAATCTTCTCATCATAACTTTAATTATTATTTTTGATTATAAAAGGGATCGTTATATTAAAATCGAAAACACATATAAGAAAATTTACAGATACAATCATGAACTCTATGATTGGATTTAGAGTCAGTCACTCATACAAAGCAACATGACTCGCTAAACCTGAAACGGACAAATTTAGGCTTAAAACGATCGGAACTGAAATCTTGTCTATAAAAAACTCCAAAAATCCAAACATTCAAACCAAAACTACTTAGACTAAAACAGAAACAATTGCTACTAAAGAGAATAATACTGAAATAAATTTTTTCCGCAAAGTTCTTCCCGGTATGCGGAGGACAAACTCTTGCAATATGGGTGATACCAACTCCAACACCGTCGGAATAGCTGACCAAGAGTTTACGATCCATCCTCGATACGACCTCCCAGCCGCACCTCGTTCATGCGCTATCGTTATCTCATCCGACGTAGTTGCAATCCCAAGCGTTAGAACACTTAAAGTCAGTATAATCTTTCACTCCAACCCCATATTGATAAGGGCGACGGAAAATCTCAGCCCCTACAAAGAGAGGTGACGGCCGTTGGGGCAATTGTTTGTATTCTTCCTTTTTTTTAACAAAGCGGCTTAAATTGATATCAAAGCATTCATCAAGAGAACAAGAAGATAAAAGGACCACTTCCAACCACCGACCCTTGAACCTGGCTTAGAGCCAATCACCCAGAAAAAAGCAATATGACTCGCTGATCCTGTAATGGGTCTAAATGAGCTTAACGTGGTTTTCAATAGTCGTACACTCCTCATCGCCCCAACCTAATGCAAGAGTCTAGCAAACGTAAGCGTACATGACAAACAAAACAACATGTAGTTTGAAGTAAAAACACCAACATTCTAAAACAGAAAGAGAAATAGTCGTCCAAACCCTAGTCGCACAATTCCTGCATGCCGGTGGTTCGGGAGGAGGACGGATCAACATCCCTTCGTCTTCTTTCGCCCGTACAATTTTGTTCGGAGCTTCTTCCTCGCCCGCAACCTCCTCATCTAGACTCAAATCGCCCTCATCACCCTCGAGAGACAGCTTCACACATTTATGGACCATCTTCTCCATCTCTGCCATAATCATACAATAACGTGCTTATGCTCGAAGCACTGCCTCTGCCTTGATGCGAATTTGATGCCTTGGTTTGCTAGCCCTCCACAACCCGAACCGATGTCTTGCGGCGCTCGAATGTCCTCAAAAACCGATGGACGATAGCAACTCGTCGTCCCTTCTCGAAGCCCCCAGAGCCGAACCAAAAAAACCTGCAAAAATTAATATAATAAAGAAACGTGAAGCTGGAGCGGAGGTCGATTTCCCCCACTAATCACAACTCTGCGTTCTGAAACTCGATATCCCCCACCGGACAAAGGCTCTCCACCAGCGCCAGTACAAACTACTAGAGACAAACCCTAGAGACAGTCGCCATTTGCATTCTTCCAACTTTAAAAAGGGTAATTACGGCCTTAATTATTTTGAAAATAATACTCTCATATACTATTACAACTACATTTTTAGATTTACGTAGTATCTTTCATTTCGGCACACTATTTCATTATCTTTCCATCATACCCTAAATAATTTATATATCTTTTCACTGTTTTTAATTTCACCTACTTTTAAACGGGAAGATATATATGTTACGGAGGTAGTATTATATATATTATGTATGTAAAATTTTCATATTTTAATTAAATATACATGTGTTTTTCTCCTTAATTTTTAGCTTTCAAAATTAAGAGTCTGTTTGGTAGCCCTCTTATTCGGCTTATCAGGTTTATCAGGCAACTTTTTCACCAAACACATAAAAATTTTATTTGTAGAAAAAATGACATATGAAAACACCATAAAACAAAAGTTATTCAACTTCTAAACCCCTACTGATCATATGTATTCCAATAAAAATTTAGACAAAAATTATGTGTACTATATACTATCCTCCATTCTTTAAAAGTTGCAACAGTTTGACTTTCACGTTTGTCAACGATCAACGTACAACTTTAACCGTAATTATATTTAATTACAGTTTAGTTAACATTAAAAAAAGTTAACATTTTGAAAATTTACACTAATAGAAATTTAATGACATTTATACATAATAATTTGATTATATATACTATTAGAAAATCGTAGACAAAGTAAGGTGTGTGAATAGTGCAAAAATCCTAATGTTGCAAGTTTTAAAGAACAAGGGAAATATATGTTAGGAGTATTATATACTACGAATATATGTATATTTATGCGACTCAATGTTGTGTATAAATTTAGGTAAAAATTTGCACTTGATAGCAACACAAAAATTGCACACTCAAAAATAAAAAACAAATAACAAGTTTCAGCTTTTTATCGAGTACGGGGCTCATGATGGTACCATGGATCACAACCATGTTCCAAGATTGAATTAAAGTAAAAGCCCATCAATGGGATCAACCCATTAATTGGGATTAATAATTAATAATAGCCGATGAGCCTAACTAAGGTCCTAATCCACGAAAGGAATCCACAACCAGGCCAGACTGGACAGCAGTCCTCGAACCTGGGAGGAGTTCTAGCGAGGTTGGACACGTCCCAGGGCTTATGTGGCAGACTATCATTTGAGCATAGCTATCTGGTAGCGGCAAGAAATAACGGAAGAAACATGGACATAGAGGAACAATGACTACACAATGTTCGAGACGCTACATTACTCTTATTATAAATAATTGCAGTAAATGTATCAGCTTTCTCTTAGAATACTTGAATCTAAGGTCTATAAATACTTTCTGTACACATTCTACCAAGGTTCCAAATTTCGGATTAATACTACTACCTTATGATGCCTAAATTTCATCTGCTCTCGTAGATTAACTCTCGTAATTGGATAACACCATCATAATATATTTAAACATATCAAATTAATTCAGATTAAATTCATTAAACTAAATCATACTCCATATTAGAAAACACTAAATCACTTGAGTGAAAACAATTTACTCTACGTTACACTACAATTTTGGCATGTATAGTAGCAACCGACCACACCCACTTCTAGAGCAGCACATATATATGCACGAATCTTGTAAAATCATCATATAGTGGACCAATGTAACTTTATGGAGGGTCCATACTCCATAGTACTCATAAAAGTATTCTCCTTCGATTTGTTTGGAAGTGAGGAATGAATATATATACTACCTCCCAAAATGAATTCACATTTCTCATTACGATATTTGACTGAAGATAAAGTAACTCGATCCTTGTTCATAATCAGATTACCTTTAGTAAATAAAAATTTACATATTGAGAAATTACATTAAACTCGCTATAAAGGCTGATAAAACAAATATAAATTTGATAAAAATTTGATATATAAAACATAAGATTAAGAGTAATTTAAGTTGACCATGTGAATAGTGACTGTGAAGTTCATTTTGAAACGGAGGGAGTAATACAATGCTTTCCGATAGGTGGTGAAGCCTGTCTTTTTCTTTCTGTTATTTTGTGTTTTAAAGAGAACATTTCTTTATGTTTAAATCCCCACTTGAATAGCAAGTGGAGCAATGTTGTTAGTTTAGTTTAATCATGTCGGATTCTGGGTTGCTCTCGAGCCATATTCCAGTTCTATGTCTCACCCTATTGTAGTCGTTGGCTTGATTGCTATGTTCCTGATTACATTTACAATAACTAAATAATTTTGTTGTCTTCAAACAAAAAATTAAGGACATATATAACATTATTGAATTGCCAAAGCACTAATTAAATCCTACAATTCTACAAATATGCAATGGCAGAAATATTAATTAAGAACTACTACAAACTTTCGAAATTCCAATTTTTCCCACAAGAATTTCTCCAGTTTTATTCTTCTAGTGAAGCTATACAACAAAAAACAAAACAAATCATCAGGAAATTAAAACCAAAAGAACGTACTCCTACATATGATTCAAATCCATAAGAAAATCCATTATTGGAAATTAAAATGGGTGATTATTATATCGAATTGTTATTATATTATTAAGATGTGGTGATTAAGTAATTAACTGCCCGATCCCTTGGATGGATCGTTGAAGTCGGAATTATGATTAGCAATCATTCTCTGAATCATTTCACTCGTTTGGGCTTGCGACATTCGGTCTTGTTTGGTTTGTGACTGAGCATATGCCATAAAGAATTCCGCATTCTCTTTCTCTAACTCTTTCCACACTGCATGAAGACATGAATCAAGTGATATATAATGTTTAAAAAAAGGATGACACTTCATCCCTGAGGTCCCCAATCCTGATCGGACGGTGCGTTAGGAGAATGTAAATTGGACGATAATCACAATTTGACAGATAGAGAGAGTGAGACTCTATCACCGATACTTGCAGAGGCCCTATGCAGTTTTAGCATAGTAACCTCTCATCGCAGTTACCGGGATTCGAACCCAGGACTTAACCCTTATGAATCGAGTGATATATGTTGAATCTAAGTCATTTTTAATTTATACTCCAAACACACACATATATACTACGTCCCTCCCTCAATTAAAGTCTCAGTTTGACTTTACGCTCTTCTAGAAAATGTTCGGCCGTAATTATATACAAACATGTACCTATATAATTTATAAATTAACTGTTCAGCAATACATATTACGGAGTATAATGAAGTATATGACCTTTCAAAAAAATGAAAATAGTTTTGTGTAATAAAGTACTCCCTCCGTCCCATATTTAACTCCGGTTTTGACCGGACACGGGTTTTAAGATAGTGGGATTTGTGTGATGGAGAGTTATGCAGAGGAGAGAGAAATGTGTAAGAATGGTTGTGAACCACATATTTTTTACCAAAAAGGGGAAAAGGAGATAAATTTGGGACGAACCGAAAAGGAAAGAATGAAGATAATTCTGGGACGGAGGGAGTATGTAGTATTATTGTTAATTATGAGTGATGGTCAAAGTTTAAAAGCATCGACTTAAACTGGGAGTTATTTGGGATTATGTTTAGTTTTGACTTTTAAGTCAAAATACGTCATCACCAATCGTATTACTGAAGTGCACTAATAAAGTTCACGATAAAGCAAAACCTTCACTCCGTAATTCATTGTTACACCCACACCATAATACATACTCCGTGGAGTAATATATTGGTCACGTGGTAGGGATGGGGTCTTACAAGAGAAATGTGTAGGGTTCAACTCTCATCAATGATTTAGAATGGAGCCTGACTCTCTTTTCATCAAAATGAGATCAGGACTCGATTTACATACTCCTCATGTTTTATGTAGAAACAAATACGATTTATAATTGTGCTTTTTCCTAGAATATTACTTATTCCCTCCTTCCCTATTTTTTCTCCCATTTCGGCTGGGCACACTAATTAAGATAGTGGGTTTTATGTGGTGGAGAGTTGTGTAAAGGAGAGAGAAATGTGTAAGAATGTGTAAGAATGATTGTGAACCACAAATTCTTTGCCAAAAAGGGAAGGAAGAGATAATTTGGGACGGACGAAAAAGGAAAGTTTGAAGATAATTCAGGGACGGAGGGAGTAATTGAAACTAATTTCAAAAAAGTGACCATTTTAATAAAAGGACGAAATATGACTCAGAAGGTCACATATATGGAAAAACATTATGTCACTCCCAAATTTTTATGTCAATATTATATGTCACTGTCAAATTTTTATGTCACTTCTGAATGTCACTATAACCGCCGGAAAATTTTCCGCCGACCTTTTTCGGCGAAACTGTGCACCACGAGCAGCACCCCCCGCCAGCCACCTTTTTCATGTCACTGTGGTTTTTTCGTGTCACTATGATTTGTCACTTACGGATGCCACTGTCATAAAAAAATCATATCACTATAATCGTTTCTGCTCGGTGAAATTGTTGTCGCGACCGATCACCTGACACTCCGACCCCCACACCTAGCCCCCACACACCCGACAACTGTCACTGATGACAACCGCCGCCCTAACCGTGACTACATCAACCCCTCCCCAGCTCATCAGGCCCCTCCCCGGCCCTACAGCCCCCTCCCCAGCCTACCAGCCCCATCCACAACCCCCCCTCTCTAGTCCCCCATCCCTAAACCCTACCACAACCCCTTCCATTCCAGCCCCTCCTTCAACCTCTCCTCCAAACCAACCATCTCAGTCGTAAACTTCAGGAAACAATTTCAATTGCATAATCATCCTCCTAATCTCAATTAACAAAAACCAAACCCTGATCTTGTTCCCCTATTCCCCAATCTTAGTTATTGAAAACTAATCAAGTCATTTTCGATGAGCGTGAGTAACAAAAAAAAAAAGAAAACGTTGACGATAGGAATTGAAGCAACTGTGAAGGCGGCCGGTCAATTGCAGAGGTGATGAAGAGGAGAGCGATGGAGTTAACGGTGAAGAAATGGGAAGGAGTTGCAGCGATGGGGTAGCCGACATTGCTATAGCTCTTCATCGTTGAATCGATGCAGAAGAAGGATGAAGGTTTGTCTCCATCTTCGTCGCAGGGTCTGGTCGCCATCTTCGTCGCAAGGGTTTGGTCGCCATCTTTCTGCAGGGTTGCAATTGTCGAAGAATTATGGGTAGCGCAGAAGAATTATGGGCCGTAGACGGAGTGCTGGAGAGAGAGAAGGGAGACTTTTTATTTTAATCGGTAGTGTTTTGTCGAGGTAAAACAAGTCATATTTTTTTCCACCCAAAATGTACACGTAATATTGGTGTCATTCTTTCTTTTTAATTTTGAATAAATAGTGCAATAGTGAACTTGACATTTTTAATGTGAATAACCTAAAATTAGATGGCTACAGATAAATTATCGCGGAGCACAATCATAAATTGTGTAGTGTGTACTATACAGAGTACAAAAAAGCAGCCACTAGTACCTTCTAAGATACTGTTCGCAAACTCTTAAAAGAACATTTCCCAACTTGACTTAAAAAGTTAAAATGAGTGTTTTCAAGTGACAAGTTTTACTTAAATTAATTAAAATCATAAAGCTAAAAGTTAGAATATGCTTTTTACTTTTTCTATTACATAGAAAAACACTTATTTTATCAAATACTACCAATTTTAACTTTTCAAAATCAATTTTTTCCTAAACACTACCAACTTTTACTATTAAGCATTTTTTCTAAAATCACTTTAAAAAGTTCAAAAGCACGTATGATTAGTGTTCGCAAACAAAGCCTAATTTGTAACCATAGAAAGATTTTGAGCCCGTTTGGTGAAATTAAAATTGGCTGAATTGGCCGATTCTGTTGAAATTTATGAAATTCTGGCGGAAGTGGCTGATTCTGCTGATTCATGAAAAAATTATATTTAAAGTATTTGTTATTAATAAATTAAATAAAAAATTATATGAAAAATAGCTAAAATGATCCTCTACAGTAACTTCAGCCAATACAGCCAGAAAAGTAACTTCAACCTTAGTTTTTTTACTTATTACAAAATTCAGCGCGCGAAATAAAAAATTACGTATTTGGTGAAAAAACTGGTTGATAAGTCTAATAAGCTGAAAAAGGGGCCACCAATAACACTGAGCAAGAGTAATGTACGTTCCACCTTAATGAAAATATTGTATCAAGTTTTTTTTTGTTAATTAGCATCAAATGACGACTAGTAAGTTCAACCCATTGCATTTTTAACACTTGTGGATTTGTTGAATTCTATTTGTGGATTTGTTGAATGTTTTAGAGCATATTTGATAACACTTAAAATCAGTTGAATCAGTTGATACTGCTGATTTATGAATAAATTATATTTAAAATATATTTTATTAATAAAATAAAAAAAAATATATGAAATTAGTTTAAATAGTCATTTACTGTAACTTCAGCCAATACAGTCAGAAAAGTAACTTCAATCTTAATTTTTCTTATTTTTACACAATTCAGCGCGCAAAATCAAAAGTTACGTGTTTGGTTAAAAAGTCGTCTTATAAGCCTAATAAGCCGAAAACAGAGTTATCAAACGGGTTCTTAATTATATTTAAGGAATTAATTCACAAGACTATATGACTAATTTCAACAGTATGAATTGCTCAGGTACTTGTAAATCATATCACAACGTTCGTATTTTATGTTCTCAAAATCATCAAGTCCGGGGTCGGTGACAATAATTCTGTAGACAAACTCCGACAATCTTGGAGTATTGTCCTGTACAAGAATATCAAAAATGATGTTTGTACACACTCTTATACACACTTTTGTACATACCTATGTCTGTGAAAGCTTTTTTTTGTCTGTGAACATCGATTCACAGACAATGTTTTGCACAAACAAAATATTGTCTGTGAACCGGATTCACGGACAAAAAAAAGCTTCACAAACATGGTGTGTATAAGGTGTGTACAAGGGTGTGTACATCAAGAATGGTTGTAAGAATATACAGTACTACGTATATACATATATGTCCTGGTTTTCAAAATATTAGTATCACCATCTTTAAAAAAACTTATCATAGTTGCATTTTGGTCTGGAAGCTTTTTATATCAGAACCAAAAGAACATCAATTTATTTTTATTTCACACTTTCTCGTATTTGTCTTGGGGACAGATTTGAGATCTTTGCTTACAATAAAACTATATAATCATAACTCAATTAAATTATGAACAATTAAGTGAAAAAAGTGTGACTGTTTCAAATACAACTTGGAATAACATTTGTTATACATCTTCGAGAAAGTGAGATTGTTTGGTAGTGTTTGGACACTGTTTGACATCGTTTTCCATTGTTTTTGCACTGTTTTGTTTATCAAAAGGGGAAAAAATACTTTTATTTAGTGAAGGCCAAAAAAGAAAGGCAATTTTATTTAGGGAGGGAGGGAGTAATAAATAAAAATTAAGAGGCGATGTATAATACTCCCTCCGGTTTTCAAACAACTTCACACTTCTTCTTATTTCCTTATTTAGCAAATTATCTACACCAAAACAGTGCAAAACAGTGTCAAATAGTGTCTAAACAGTGTCAAACAATGCACTGCACAGTAAAGTCAAATTTAATTTCTTAAACTGTGTGAAGTCAAAGTGTGAAGATCTTTGAGAACATTAATTGGGCCATCTCTAGATCACCATAGTAGTCCCGTCCCTTCTTTCTTGTCATATGTTTGTTGGTTCGTTTGGACTAAATTTGTCTAATGTCATAAGTATTTGATAATTAGTACGGATTAATATTTGCTCACTCTAAATATACATACAGTTCGTTTCTTAATTCTCATTTTCAAAAAAAAAGTACACACTCTTGTACACACCTTATACACACCATGTTTGTGAAGTTTTTTTTGTTTGTGCAAAACATTGTCTAATCGATGTTCACAGACAAAAATTTTTTTCATAGAAATAGATGTATACAAAAGTATGTACAAATGTCATTTTTGATATAATTTCATATATTCATGTGATGTGATCCCAATTTAGTGGAACACAGAGTGATAGGGTGTACTATTTTTATGGTCGCAAAAGTCATTTGGCGGCAGGGAGAATTGAGATTCCAAACCCCCCTTTGCAAGTTGAATTCGTACTTGGGACATTGGGACACCTTTTCTGTTACTCCGTCCGTATTAAAGTTATGCAACATGTATAACGTAACTTGGTCCAAAAAGGTTGAATGCCCAACCTCAAGGCTTCCTCCACCCCGTCCCGACAGGATGGTGAGGAGGTTAATCATGGTGACTCAGTCATCAAAACGGCGATAGGCCTTATACACGTGTGTACCAGAGGTCTAACCTTATTTCAGGTTCTGTAACCTCCACAAGATCGTTGCAGGTTTCGAACCTTGGTCACTTGATCCAATTTTCCCACCACTCGACCAACTGAGCTACCCGTGCGGGTAAAAAACGATGGAGCACACAAATGTGCTCATTACGGATCGGAGCACATCAACATGCATGATGAATGATTATGCTTCAATCATTTGAAATATTTAGAAAGTCACGATCATTTATTACGCTGACGTGCTCCGTAGCGAACACGTTGGCGTGCTACATATATAATCTCTTTTGAGACAAATTTAAAGGCTTATTTCTAATTAAAGATATTTTTACATGTACAATTATAGAGTTAAAACGAGATATAAGTGTCTTGGATTATTAATTATTTCTTCTGCAACTTTCACCCACTTTAAGTCTTTAACCTGACATACTTATTAAGAAAATCACATGAAAGCCCCATCTTTATTGCATTATTAAAAGGAGGCAAGTTTTCTTGTTGGGTGTCAAGAAAATAAAGAGCTTAGGACAAAAGCGTGGAAGGGGTAAGTGCAGTATATAAATGTCTTTTCCCACATACTCCTCCAAGTGTGTGGGAATTTTAATGCATATATGGGAGTATTACTTGTTACTCCTTCCATTCCTATTATAATTAACTTTCCTTTTTTGTCCGTTTCAATTAAAACCTCCACTTTCCCTTTTTAGTAAAGAATTTGTGGTTCACAACGTTTCTTACACATTTCTCTCTCCTCTGCACAACTCTCAACAACAAAATACCCACCATCTTAAACTATGTGCCAAACCTATTTGGAAGTTATAATAGAAACGTGGGAGTAGTATATATAGTTTGTCAAACAAAAAATCTAAAAACCATGCAGAAACAGGCTCACCAGTTGCAGTTATGATGGGCTCTATGTTTGCATGCTTAGAGAGAGCTTCCATGCACTCTTCTTTGGTCATCTGAAATATCAAGCACTTCTCTATCAGGTGCTGCACCTGGACATTATAGGCATCACATGGTTATATAATCAGACAAACAAAATCATATCACATAAAATAAAATCATCAAATTATTGACTGAACGTTTAATATATTTTTATACATATCAAACCAACACATATACATATATGTTGATGAAATCCATTTCAAGTATTACCATATGTATGTAAGAAGCAGATGAATCCCCCATGCTGACTAACTTGAACTGGATATTGTCACAAATATATAGTAGTAGCTGAAGAAACAACTTATAACAATTTAATGATTATAAATTTAAAGGAATATATATGGAGAGAGCTTGCTAGCTAGCTAGACAAAGTTGTGAAAGATCATGATGAGCTGAGGAAAGGTCAGGAATAAAACTATATATACACCAATCTAAGGCTAAGGCTAAGGCTAGGGGAAGGCAAAAATGAATGGTGGAGTGGGGTCTTAAGTCCCATGTGGGAGATGAATGATAATTGGTGGAGAAGGGATTAGAGTAGATTTGTAAATGCCTATTTCTTTGGTCTCATTGGATTCTTGAGAGGCCGCAGCCTCCCCTGCACGTGACCAATGGGTACACTACCCAATGTAGAAAATGCACAATTTGTTTTAAAAGGTAGGTAGCTAAATCAAGGCACTCTATTATATTAAGGATAGATAATTAGTGAGTGATGGGCAAAGAAAGGCGTGAGAAGCTCAATAATTACTACAAAATGATCTCGGATGCAAGTCCTTCCAAGTTGGTTATTGTAATCCCATAATTAATATCTTCACAATAGGGTGGTGTAATAATATATACGGTGACAACTCCAGTACCCATTTAAAAAATGAGATATCGTACTTACCACTCACATGATTGGTCCAAATCATTATATCATATTGAATTTAGATTTAAATAATTCAACTGCAACATTCTGATTGATCCATGTGGACAAATGTATGGTACCTTAAGGGCACCATAGAATCTACCTAATATATACTCCACATAATTAATATCGAGAACTATATGTGAGGGTCATAAAATTGAAAAAAATGTCCTAAAATAGGAGTAAAAACAACATGAAGAAGTGAAGGTAACAAAAATGATCTTAGAAATGTTGTAGGTACACACTTTTTGTACACATATGGTGTACACTTCCTTAGTTGTGTGTCTACAAGGTAACTTTCATTCGAAAATTACCTTGTAGACGGACAACTAGCGGGGCTGTATACCATATATGTACAAAATATGTGTACACCAAACATAGGTTAAACTAGTTGTGAAATGAATGATGCGGGACAGCGGGAGACTCAACGATCACTCGATCCAAATTGGACTTAACTCTGCAGTGTGGTTGATAAATAATGTGCACCAAACCACTGATGATGATTGAGCATATGCCAACAAACTACCAAGCAAGGAATACTGTTGTAGCAGGTTCTAAATTTCAAATCAATATATTAAAATTAAATAAGATTTAACATATTGTAGCTAGATTCTTGTAGCAAAAACATGTTATGTGGCCATTTAGAAGTGTCTATATTATTTTTTCCAAAAAAAAAAAAGAAGTGTCTATATTATGGATTTTATAACACAATCAGACAAATCTACTAAAAATGATTTTATTACAAAAATATTTTTAATAAGTTTGACCAGGAGAGCAGGAGGTCATTCGTAATTAATAGTGCACTCCTTGGAGGTGTTTGGAAAATGACATTCCATCAAAATAAGGTGATTGGACCTGTTTGAGCGTTTTCAATAAGTGAAAACGTTATTTGCTAAATAGTTGCTCGGTCCTAACGTTTTTTGACGAAATGGAAACGTTGCAAATAACAGTGTATTGGGTTAGTAGTTTTAAATATGACGTTTTCTATTAATTATTATGACCAAAGAGTTAAATTATGAAACATCTTTTGACCTTCCGCCAATTTAATTCCCTAGTCAAATCCTCTGTTAAATCCTCTAACAACTCGCTAAGATAGTTCACTATCCACTAACCGCTAAATGTCAAACACGTCCTTTATCTGCAAACAACGTTACTCTCACGTACACTTATTACTTGTAGGATCAAACTAGCTACTTTTTAATTTCTTCCTTCATATACCATCGTAATATAATTAATTGGTCATAACTCTATATGTTGTTTTGTGATTCAGTAAAACTTTTATCATGATTTTTAATATTTATAAATTTCAATTACAAATTTTGTCACCAATCAACGATTAATCGACGCCTAGGCACTAGATGACGGTCCTAACTGTAAAGGACTAATCGCCCTACTCGATCAAAAATAGGCCTAGTCGCCCGCCTAGTCAACGCCTACACGCTAGACCCCCTCAATCGTACGACTAATGTCTAGCGAGTTTAGAACACTGGTTCAATCTGTATTGAATATTCAACAAATCATATACCCCAAGTACTTTCACACAGTGACACTTTGAAGATTCACATAATTTTCAAAAGCAATGTATTTTAGTATACAATCCTCATGATACTTTACTCCCACAGAATTGGAATTCCCAGGCTTTCGGGAAAAAATGATGCTCCCACAAGGTATATGTTCTTGGACCATTTTCCTTAATTAGGCCTAGTGCATGCATGCTTTATGTCAATACATTTATTAAAGGGAATCATTGTTCCAATTGTCCTTTTTTGTTCAAGACTGGCTAATATTATTGTCTTTATAAAATTATCCTGATTATTCCATAGTAAAAATAACCATTAATAAAAAAAACTAAGAGTATCTCATTTAAAATATTACTGACCATTTTATATTTAAAATAAATAAATCCCTAAATGCACAAATAAGATTAGGTTGTTTATCGTCTCAAAATAGGACTAAAGTGTATATAATCTATCTTTCTCTTCTAACCTCATCATAACTTAATAGGAAAGTCATATTTTAATTTGAGATAAAAATATAAAATTAATAAAAAAAAATTTTAATTTATAATAAAATCGTATAAAATATAAAAAACATTTTAAAAAAAATAATATAAAAATAAAAATTTAAAAGTTTAAATAAAAAATTTAAAAATAAATAAAAATAGATAAAACACAAAAAACAAATATGGAGTCCTTTCCCGCAGCCTCTGTCACCTCTCAGCAGTGCCACCTCCGTTTGGTAAAAGAAAATCCATTTTGTGTAGAAAATTGTTAGAAAGTTCCATGACATCAAGATGTCAATTTTTACTCTTCAAAATGACTAAATTTTCTCTAAATTGTCATCAAGATGCCATTACTAACACATTTTGGATTTTTTCCCGATGGTCAGAGCTAGTGGTGATGGGAGGTTGGTGAGGCGGAAACAGAGGTCACATTTTTTTTGTTTTTTATGTTTTATTAATTTTTTATGTTTTTTAGTTTTATAATATGTATTTTTCTATTTTTTATTATTTTTATTTAATACTCCCATGGTCCCGGAAATATCTTCATACTTTCCTTTTCGGTCTGTCCCAAATTTATCTCCTCTTTTCCCTTTTAGCAAAAAATGTGTGGTTCACAATCTTTCTTACACATTCTTACACATTTCTCTTTCCTTTACACAACTCTCCACCACACATTTCTCACTATCTTAATATGTGTGTCAATTGTTCTTGTGAAGATAAATATTGGACGGAGGGAGTACTACGTATTTATTTTCGCTTTTTGTTTTCTTTTAATTTTTTATTATAAATAAAGTTATTTTATTATGTTTATATTTTAATTATTAATGAAATATGAATTGTATTAAAACGAAGGAAGGGTATGACTGTATAGATAGTCCTATTTGGGTAATTTTGAAGTTATACTTCTATTCTTACAATTAAAGTTTCATTCAGTCCTATTTCGAAAAGTCCCTGAATAATTTCTCTTAATTAGAAAGAAAACGCATACGAAAATCTAAGAATGTTTTTATTCGGATCGATTCCAAATAAACTAGACTTAAACCTGTTAAATCGCCCAAACTAAACCTAAACAAATGAGAGCAAATCAGAAGTGATAAAAGGGTCTAATTAATCAATCAATTAATTAAATAAATAATTATGTATATGTTTAATTAATTAGGATAAAAAAGATTAATTAGGATATGTACCTGCAGACAGGCCGGCACAATGTTGTTTGGAAGGATATGTTAGGAATGAGCGTAACAGTAACCCGCTGACCACAAGAGTTGCAAGTTAAGGTGAGGTTGGTGTAGAAAAGATCTAGCAAAGCTTTGGCACATCAACTGTAAATGTAACCATGCATCCTTTCCATCTTATCATTCTCACCTCAATCTCTCTATATTTAAGCATGCTACCTAAGCCACAATTTCCCTATCTCTCTATCTACCTATCTTCAAAGCCAGGCCATCCAAATTTAAATCATTTTAAAATCAAGTCATAATGTAATACTCTATATGTAGTATATACTCCTTCCGTCCTCCAAACTTTGTCCCGTTTTACCTTTTTTCGTTCGTCTCATTAAGTTTGTCTCATACCATATTTGGTAATATTTGAGTGGTTACAATTCATTCTTACGTTATTCACACTTTATCAATTCAATACCAACTTCACAATTCCACTTTTTCTTAAAATTTGTGCCACAAAAGATTCTACAACGTACTATGATGCTTTTTCAATTATATACTCCCTCCGGTTCTTATTAAAGTTCTCACTTTCCTTTTTTGGGATGTCCCTTATTTAAATTCACACTTCCATTTTAGGAAACAAAACAGTGCAAAACAGTGCCAAACAGTGCCAAATAATGTCCAAACAGTGTCAAACAGTGCCAAACAGTGCACTCCACAGTAAAGTCAAATTCATTTTCTTAATATGTGTGAAGTCAAACTGGGAACTTAAATAAGAACCGGAGGAAGTATGTGTGTGTGATATCAAAAAAACTACTTGCATGTAGACAGACACCTGGGTATGATGTACACAATATGTGTACAAATTATATGTACACCAAGTATTGTTGCAGTAATATTCCTATTAGTTCGGTCTAATAGATCGAATTGTTGTCAATCCAACTTCATTTTTTACCAAAAGTGAAATCAATGATCATTTTTTTACTCATTAGGCTTAAGAATGTTTTTATTTGGTTTGATTTTAGTCTTACACCAGATTAGATCATGTCAGAATTTGACAGTAATAAAATACATAGATCAAACATCTTCTGGCAAACCAACAAATTTGAATGTAATTAAAAATATACTAACTATTTCCAACGGCTAGATCTTAAATTTGTTAAAATAAAAAGAACCTACATACTCACTTTTCACCTTCAATACTTATCTAACGGTCAAAATTAATTCATCCAAAAAGTGAATTAATTAGGATGAATTAAAAACGTTTCTTGTGTATCCGTTCACACAGACATGATTACGTACACATGAATCATTAGAACAAGCCTTTAAGATTTACTCGCACTGATTGATATGAACTTGACAGTAATGACAAATTAGACAGAGCGGGGTTTTGAGGGTTCTACCTAATAAAAAACATTTATTTATAGGGCAATG